ATAGCATTAGGAGATATACCTAATGTAAATGACGAGTTAATGGGTGCAGCACACCAACATGGCACATGTATACATATATAACAAACCTGCACGTTGTGCACATGTACCCTAGAACATAAAGTGTAATTTAAAAAAAAAGAAATAACATCTGTCTTGGTAATTTTATATTTTCTCTTTATGGTTCAAGTTTTATTTATCCAGGATCTATTTAGTGAAAGAAATGAGTTTGGAATACAACTTACCAAAAACTGAAACTAAATCTCAACTCTTTCTGTTTCTAATTCCAGACTCTGTTTTACTAGCATATTTAATAAAAAAGAACTGTAACAAATGCATTTTTAAAAGTAAATGTATATTATGTTTTAGCACCTTACAGAGCTAGTCACTCCTTATTCTACTTTTTTTCAATAATTTCCCTGGAAAACATATTTACCTCATAAAATAACATGTCAGCATACTTAATTGAGTTCTAAAAACAATCTTGTTTGCTTGCTTTGTTTTATTGTAATTGAGTTAATGGCTGACATTTAATATATTCTATACTTGTGTGTGTGTATATATATGTGTATATATGTGTGTGTGTATATACATACGTACATGTATACATATATATATAGATCCAAAACCCTGAATTGAGGGTGCCTATCAGAAGTCTATAAGCCTTCGTGTGGAAGTTAACTCAAATACTTACAACCTGATAGTACCACAATCTATCATTTCCCCACCCTGAAATCAATCTCTCCTACTCCATCCACCAGTTCTTTATTTTTAAAAATATATGATTTTGCTCCTTTTCTTCCCATGTGCATCAGGTCCACTCTGCAAAGGTTGAATCCTGGCTTGTGTGAGCCTGTATGATCCCACGGTCATTCCAATGTGTGAGAAAGTGGGTACTGGGAACACCCTGGAAATAGTTGCTCCTTATAAAGGCACACAGGAGAAAGGAGTATCCTTTTCTTCCCTTTGGGAGTTGTTGTGAAAGAATAACAAACCTAAAGCTGCTGCATGGGTCACCCTACCATCTCCGGAAAGCTGACGTGCTGTGTGTGATAGAAGAGCTACGAAGTTCGAGGACCACTGGTGATGCCCCTAGCCTGCTGAGTTGAGCAATCCTGGGGATGCCCAGCCTTGGATCTATCGGCTATGTGAGATAATGAGTTAAAGAAAAATAAAGCCCACTACATGTAATTTCCTGCTATTAGCAGCAGAACGCATCTTCAATGAAATATTCATTCCACACATTTTGGTTCTACTTTGTAATTCCACGCCCCAAGTCTCATATAAAATGAGAAAATCATGTCCTCAACTTAGGAGTCCTGAGGCCTATTTGTTGCAACTCTGTGATCAAACAGAACAGACATAATTATAAGCTTAATATACTGCTATAGGATTTATACTCTTACAGGATATATATGTACCTGTACTGCTACGTTATGTACAAGTAACATGCAACTAAAAATAAGATATGCATAGAAACAACTTTTAATTTGATTGAAAATAAAATAACAGTCGTCTCTGACAGTGGAGAAATCATGCTCAAATGATTATTACTTTGAAATAGACCTCTGAATTATGTACTTTTAGATTTGACATTTCATACTGACTCTCAGATAGAACATAATGGAGAACCCTCCGTCTTCTAAATTTGTCTTTCTCCGAAATCTGTACAAGTCGTTTGATGACACTATATTATTGAAGTCTCTGGAGTGAAACACTATACACTGACTTATAGTTACAAATGCAAAATATTGTAGACGGGGTGAAGAAAGAGTTCTGATTGCCTTGCTGGCTGGTTTCTCATCTCACGTTGGCCGAGTTTGTTTCAGTTGTTATAGTCTGTTCTCAGTTTCTATGCATTGCTTTTTTAACCATTAGGTTTACTTTTTTAATTGACAAGTAAAAATTGTATAGTATATTTATGTTGTACAGCGTGAGGTTTTGATATATGTCTGTAGTGTGGAATGTCTAAATCATGCTATTTAACATATGCATTACCTCACATACTCATGACATATACATGAAAATCTTTATATTCTATTGGGAAATAATCCTCCCTTTCCTTTTCATTTTTTGTCTTTGGAGCCAAATGGACCAGATGATATTTAACTCCATCTTTGAGAAATATTTAATAATGTAATGTGTTTGTGGTACAGGGTGAGTATACAGATGCACAGGAGGCCATAGGGTTTAAGTAAAGGGGAGCACAAAAGTTGAAGATGAGGCGCTGCCATCATTGCTGGACTTAAGGCCAAGAGCAGGAGCTGAGGAAGCCACAAGGGAGGACGTTTTCTGCAGTTGCTGAACCAGTAGCAACCAGGTCCCGAGAAAGCTCTCTCTCATGGAAGAGTAACCGCCAGGCGGGAAAGCTTTTCATCCTGCAAAGCTGGGGCAGAAGGTTCTTCCTTGAATGTGGTCACCTGCACTTCAGCTCAGGAGTCCTGTAAAAGACAGAGGAGAGTGTTGTTTTTAATCTGGCTCTACTAACAGTTTCTTTTCCCATCTTTCAAGGACTCAGATGAGAGCACCGCAGGAAGAAGAAAAACAAGTTCCCGAGTCTCCCAGAGCCAATAGTGCCGCAGAGCAGAGGCCTTTTCTAAGTGGAGAGGAGGAGTTTTGGTGTAAATTGCCTGATCAGAAACTTGGATCCAAAGTATTTCCTATTATTTCTGTCTATGCCTTATCGCCTCTACCATCATTCTAGTGTGCCCGGAGTTTGTTCCTCCAGGTGGGTTTGTGGTCTCACTGACTTCTAGAATGAAGCCACGGACCTTCGTGGTGAGTGTTACAACTCGTAAAGGCGGCAGCGACCCAAAGAGTGACCAGCAGCAAGATTTATGGTCAAGAGCAAAAACACAAACCTTCCAAAGCATGGAAGGAGACCTGAGCAGTCTGCTGCTGCTAACTGGGGGTGACCAGCTTTTATTCTCTCATTTGTCCCCGCCCATGTCCTGCTGATTGGTTCATTTTACAGAGTGTTGATTGGTCCATTTTATAGAGTGTGGATTGGTCCATTTTACAGAGTGATATTTGGTCCATTTTACAAACATCTAGCTAGCCACAGAACACCGATTGGTGTGTTTTTACAGAGCATTGATTGGTGCATTTAAAAAACCTCTTGTAAGAGAATTCTCCAAGTCCCCACCCGACCCAGAAGTCCACCTGGCTTTACCTCTTCTTAGGGAAACCGTATCTGTTTGTAAAAGAGGATTAAAAGGTATTACCTGTTGGCTGAAGTCCAGCGTGTCCTGGGAAAAAGAGGAAAAGATATACACTTAAAGGTATGGAAGCAAATCTGTCCTCCAACACAGATTCCTCTAACACCACAACCCACACCAACCAGGGCAGAAAGGAGCAGAAACAGACCATGTGACCCATGAAGCGTGACGTGTCTGTCACAGGATCCAGTGTAATTGCATTAACCTTAGTGGCTCTTCCTTAATTTGCTCCAGGATCTCAAACCAAAGGACCCCTACTTGTTAACCTTCCTCTTGTCTCTGCAGGCCACAAGCTATTATGCCTTGACATAGTAACCATGCACTAATGATTTCAGGATTAGCAGGACATTCGAGCCGTTTGGGGAAAGAAAATCTTTGTTCAGGGCCACTCATATACTGAGAACTAACCTCAGCAAAGCCATAGTTCCTCCTCCAGAAAAGCCTATGGAGACAGCCAGTTACCAAAGGCTTCTCACCTTTCTGATTCCTGAAGTAGATGAACAGCCCGGCCCCAAGGAAGAGCAGGCCCAGCACAAAGCCCCCGACTCCACTCAGCATCTTGCTCTGTGCAGATTCAGACCGTGCTCCTGAGAGAGGAAGCCAGGTTTAGTGATGTTTATTCCAAACTGAACCTCTTTAATTGAGACTCTAAGATTCAGAGCTTTGAAAATGGGGAAGAAGGCTGCCCCACAAGAACTAAAATAACCGGCCATTTCTGGAGAAAAACAAAGGATTGCAAATCATACTGAACAGTTACAAGGTTCAGACATCAAACTCATTCAAATATTACAGCCTTGATGTAAGGTATGAGTGCAACATCTGATCCACAGAAAGCCTGAGACTCAATGAGGCTAAGTAGTTTGTCTAGAGTGACAGAGATAATAAAAGGCAGAGCTGAGATTGGACTCCCCTCATGTCAGGAAGGCCCCTACACTTCTCCTCTTCCCAGATCACAATAAATAACTCAGAACAACAGCATCAGAAACTCAGTCTCAGACCCAGAGACAGGGCCTGGAGCCTGGGGAGAGCGGGTGACCCTGACCTGTGATATCATGGGGGGGTTTAAAAGAGGGACAACCTCTCCTGCCTGGCAGGCATGACTGCTTTCCCCGGGGTACAGGTGTTTTTAGAAACAATTACAGGGCTATCCCCAGTGATATGTGCTGATGGAGATGAGAACATGGAGCAAATGAAAATAGGATGTGGGAGAGGAGAAACCTGACACTCAGGGGTTAGTACAGTCCCCTTCTTGGTGGGTGAGAAATGTATGAAGTCAGAAAGCTGCTCACTCCATTCCACTGTGAGAGGGCTGGTCACGCTTGGGTGCTCCACTTGGCAGGTGTAAACCTCTCCACTCCGAGGGACTGTTTCCAGCATCACCAGGGTCTGGAAGGTCCAGTCTCCATTCTGGATCAGGCCTGTGGACACCACCCCAGCCTTCTCTTCCTGGCCGTTCCGGAACCACCTGACTTCAATGCTGCCTGGATAGAAACCACTCACAGAGCAGACCAGGAGGTTGTGGTGCTGCAGGGGCTGGGTCTTTGCAGGATACACAGTCACCTTAGGTTGGACTAGGAGAAAAAAAAGGTACAGGGAATGAGTCAGGAAGACAGAGTAAGTCTCCTTGTTTGGCTGTTTTTCTGCTTCTCTGCAAACCCAGGCTCTGACCTTGACCAGTCCTCAGCACAGCTGGCCATGTGACCTCACAGTGTCATCAGCCTGAAATTTAATCTTGATAGTTAGCACCCATTAGATTTGAGAGATGTTGTGAAAAACTGTGTTTGTTTCTTCATAGCTTGAAATTGGGATGCATTGTCAAAGTGTTTATAAATCTTTGAAAGTACAGAGTGTAGTAATTAATACTGATATCTGAGCCTGGTTGCCTGGTTCAAATCCAAGGTCTGCCTTTTACTGGTTGATCCTGACAGAGTTTTTTGATTCTTCTGTGCTCAACTTTGTCACCTACAATGAAGGATAATTATACTAATTTACCTCTTGGAGTTATATGAGGATTAATGCACATAAAATATATAAAATGATGACTGAAGAGAGCCTTCAATTTATGAGGTCAGAAGCTTCTCACTCCATTCCCCTGTGAGAGGGCTCATCACACGTGGGTGCTCCACTTGGCACCTATTTTTCATTCTTGTACACCATGACAGAAAAATATGATTTAAAGCAATGTGGATAGACAAAGGGACAGAGCTGGGTCTCCTCATGAGGAAACCGAGTGTGAATTTTTAGGAATACTACCGCCATGCACTCACACCTTAGAACACCACAGAAATGGTTCTGCCCCTGGGAAGGTGGGACAGACGGAAATGATTCTCCAAATTTTTTCATTCCTAGAAAAACATGCGTCCTAAAGCAGAGAGAAGGATTAAGGAACATCATTTTGGTTTTGAAAGCTCTTATATTTACATTTAACTGATCAATGAATCTCCCGTGCAAAACAAGCATTATTATTTTCAGGCCTATCATTGTAAAATGATTTTTCTTTCCAGAATGACACTTGGATTAAGGTAGGGTCTGGGACTCGTTACTTGGGGTGCTTATGCGCAGGAAAATCCCTGACACTAGCAGACTCTCAATACGTCCAACTATTTTTTTTTTTAGAAGTAAGGAGAAACCTAGAGACAACAATACCATAAAATAGTAGATTTAAGATGGTTTGTAAATCATTAATAAAAATTTTGCAATGTATTTTATTAAATAAAAATGTTCACATTCTTAACATGGAAAAGAATTTTCAAAATCAACATACAAACCACAAACTGGAGCAAATGCTGAATCAAATATCAATAAAGTGTTACTAATCTTAACAGTACGAAGAACCCACAAAGTCACTGAGAAAAATACTAAGCCCTCGAGATATTAGACAGTAGATCATTGTCCGTTCCCTACCAAATACAATAGGGAATTCTTAGAGCAGTAAGTATAATTGGTCAATAAATAGGTCAAAATAATTCAAAAGAATTACAAATAAAAAATATAAATTAAAAATTAACCAGAAACATACATTTTCAACTTTTGGAGAATGTCATAATAAAGGCCAACAAAGGAGAAAGTGAGGTGAGTTGTGTCACAACTATTACATATGAAAGAATAATATGTAACTACTAGAAAACTATTAGCATTATAACAAAATAGTAACTGTGTGAAAACTTTAATTCAAAACGTTAGTTTCACAGTCATTTCTACTATGTAAAAACATACACACTAAAAAATTTAGACCTAAAGAAGCTTCAGAGATGCCTCAGAGATCTCCTCAATTCCCCTAGAAATTAATCTAATGCTTTTACAAAACACACACCACACCTTTTTATTTCAGAGATTACATGAAGGGTGTGTGCCAGGGACAGTCCGGAACTGGCCTCCTCACGTTATCCCGAACCTTCCAGACCCCTCAGCTCTCCTCCCCTAAACCTTCACCCCAACCATACACACCTTACATTTCCCTTCCCTGCGTCTCTAAGGACCCAGGACAATCAAGGTCTCCTCTCTCTCCAGCCCCCTGCACCCACCTCCCATGTCACCTCCCCACAGAGGCCTCCAAGGATAAGAAGCAGCCCCCTCCTGCCTCCCCTCCTACAACAGCCACACAGACAAATCCACACTCTACACACACCTGTGCCCTCAGAATTGCTGGCTCGAGATACAGAGGATTCTAAATGCTCACAGATGGCTCTCTCTCTCACACACACACACACACTCTCACACACACACTCTCACACACACACACACACACACACAGATTCCCAGCTCACAGGGACCCAGGCCCCGCCCCCGCCGCGCTCACCTCGCCGCTGCACTGTGAAGCTCTCACCAACCCCGTAGTTGTATCTGCAGTAATTGTCCACCGCGGTCCGCGCCTGCTCCAGAAAATCCTTCTGGCTGTTGAAGTACTCCGCGCTACGCCGCCCCAGCTCCGTCACCGCCCGGAACTCCCCCACGTCGCTGTCGAAGCGCGCGTACTCCTCCTGGTTATGGAAGTATCTGTCGAGGAACCGCACCCGCTCCGTCCCGTTGAAGAAATGACACTCACGTTTAGCCTGCTCCAAGAAACGTGCTGTGGGGACACGAAGGATCCGATCACACGGGCGGCCTCCTGAGAAGACACTGACAGTGACGCCGCCATCCGGGGCTCCTGGGCGGGCGCGGGCACTGGGAACCTTAACCGGCCCCACCCGCACCGCCCACCAGCAGCCCAGGGGCTCATCCTCCGTCTTCCTGAGGCGAACGGGGGCCTGGGGGGCCAGGCGGGAAAACCCCTTCTGATCCCCAGGCTTTTGGGATCCCCTCCCTGCCTCCAGCCTGTTCTGGAGACCTCTAAGCAGGAGCTGGAGGAGGATCCGCCCAGCACCGCAGCCCGCGCCGCCTCTTCCTGGGAGCCTCCACCCCAAAGACACTCTCTGCTCCTTCCCTCATCCCACATCTTTACGGTTCCTTCAACAGCACCCACCACGATCACTCTGTGAACACTTCTTAGTGATGACCTTGTGTCAGGCCTCTAGGAATCCAAACAAGGGAAAACAGACCTCTCCACTCCGCTGGGGAGCTTAAGGAGCAGGGAAAGTCATGGCCACAAACCAAACACGCTGGAGCTTAGACAGGAATGAGAAATGTCAGAAGTGGGGAGTTCTGGAGCGGAGAATAATAGGATGATCTCAATTACATTAGGGTGCTAGAGAAGGACCCTCTGAAGAGTGACAGTTCAGATGGGACTTGACAGGTTAAGCAGGTGTGAGTCAGGGGGCAGAGTGCAGCCTGTGTGTCTGTTTGGACAAAACGGGGGAGACACATTTCAGGTTTAGGAAATCCCATGTACAAAAACTTGAATTGATGAACTTCTTTAAGAAACTAGAACAAAGTTCACTAAAGCAGAGAGGCTGAGGGGAAGGAGGGTAAAAGATTAGACTGGAGAAATCACAAGAAGCCAGGTATTGAAAAGCCTCGTGTATGGTGTTAGGATTTTGGATTTATACTAAAGACAATGGGAAAGTATCAAAGACTTTTAAGGAGAATAAAACCATGATCCTGGTAAATGTTCACAAATCTTCCTTTGCATTTCTAAATCCACAAAGCTCAGAAATCCAGTTAAAAAAACTTGAAAAACATTTGTTGACAATCTAGGTCCTACCTGAAAAGAATGTTTGGTAGAATTCTGGTCCCAATACAGTGCTATCTTTCCAGAAAATGAACTTGATGAGAACCAAGATTTAATGATTTCCTTGCTTATCAAGCAGTCACTAATCATATCATTTATCATTCACATCATCTTTTTTCTTAATTTCTCTACCACTGGTCCACTAATTATCTGTAGTAATGAATCGCAACCACAGCTATTTTATTCCCATTTAATGCCCCAACTAACTCATGTCTTTCAGTCTCCCACTCCCAACAATACTAGCAGGCATCAAATGACCAGCCTTGGCCAGAGGCAGAACTCTCGGTTTTGTAGTCAAGTCCCCTCAGAAAGGGAGAAACCAAGAAAATGACATTCTCATACAGACAGTTTCAAAAATGAGCAGGTCCCCAGACTGTGAGCAAGGCCTGCGGAAATCACCCTCTGCCCTTTAGAAACGATGGTGGAGAGGTGAGCACCCTGGATCAAACAATGCCTATCTTTTCATCCCTAAATTGTCTAAGCACTTTCTTTACAGAGAGAAAGCTAAAAAATAAATGTGTGAAGTTGCTATCACTGTGGCTTGCGTGGGTAGCACTGTAATCCATGTCCGTGTGTCCCACTTAGGGTTGACAGATTTGGCAAATAAAACCAGAGGATGCCCAGGTAAATCTGGATTTCTAATAAATTATGGTTGTGTATCTGAAATTCAGATTTAACTAGGAATCTGTATTTTATTTGGACTCTAGCCCACCTTGCTAGTCAAACCTCAGAAGAAGGAGTGATTTAATACTTCCTTGTGTTCTTCAACACATGACCATTATGGACATACAGAACTTTTAAAATGTAAATGCAAAATGAATGAAAGTTTCTTCTATACATGGGAACTAGCAGCCCTTGCATGTACATGGGGACAGAGCCCCACTCTAAGAAACAACCTGGTACATATGAATATCAGAAATTCTGTCATTATCAATAATTCAGACACAATCAAATCACTACTCACTAATGACGGACAAACTCTCAAACTCTAGAATCAGAAAACCTGAATAAAAAACATGATCTCTTCTACTTGGGTCAATTTTTACCAACCATAAGCCTTTTTGTAACCTATCAAAAGCATTTAATAATAGTGTAATCCTCACAGGATTACTGTTAAGTGTAAAATTAAATGATGACTCTTCTGAGCGCTGATTACATAATAAACACTCAAATACATTCCCATTTTAACTTTTATGATCCCTGTGACTGCAACTCACATTATTTTTTGTATTCCTTAATTCTAAAGCAATTAATATCTTCATCATGATTTTGCAATTGTCTTCTGTTCTTCTATTAGTTTTATAAAGAATTGTCATTCTGAAAACATAGGGCAGAAACACTGGTTTATGTCTAATAATGCACTATACCTGAACAAATCTCACACAAAAGGCATCTGCTGACATAGGAGAAAGGGACTTTCTACATGCTCAGATTTAAACTGCAATCTGATTTCCAGCACTACATTTGTAATACTGGGTTTTACTTATAACCTCTCAATTTTAGATTCCAGAGGTGTATACGTTTTTAAACACCACAGATACAACAGGATCATTATTTAAACTGAATACTGAATTTCATAGGCCTGGTACACAGTCACTGCAAAATGCTACATGGCATATACTGAGGGCAACCGGATTCATTTTATTTATCACTCCATTCTCATGACCTAGAGTAATAACTGGTATATGCTATGTCACTAATAAATATTGGCTGTGTGAAATACTGACTGTGTGAAATACTGGCTGTGTGAAATATTGGCTGGGTGACCTTTTGCATGAGTAGTCATCACTGCACACAGGGGCTCTCTAGTATTTCCTTGCTAATAATGACTGAGCATCTCTGGTTCACAGGTCTTCCTCCTTCTCTTCAGCTTTTTTAGCCTTTTCCTTTAGATCCAGCTGGCTCCCTGAACCCAGAGAACAGTCCTTCCCTGAACCTCTCTACTCAAAACAGTCAACCTTACCTCGTCCTCACTTCTACTCGCTCTTCAAATAGTCCAATCCAGCTTCCTCCCTGGATTGACTGCAAATATCAACTCCACCAAACCCAGGACTTGCTTCTCTGTCACGTTCTCACTTCTCCCTCCTCTTAGTGGTACTCACCACAATTGACCTCTCCCTTCTCCTTGAAAAAAATCTGTTTTCCTTGACCTACACGCATTATATTCTCTTGATTTTTCTCCAACATCCTTGAGCTCTTTCTCAGCCCCCTTTGCTGGCCTGTGCCCTCTTCTTTTTTCTCCGCACAATCCATCTCCCTATGTATCCTCTTCCACTACCTGGAATTTAACACACTACACGTACTGATGCCGCCAACATAAATATCTGAAACCCTGGCCTCACCATGAGCCTCTTAAATGCCACTGACCTTCTGATTTTTCTGCATGAATGTCAAAAAATCATCTCAAATTTAAACAAAACTTTTATTTCCAACCACCCACTTCAAGTCATTTCCTCTCATAGTTTTTCCTGTGTCAATAAACACCACCACCACCCACTTATTTGTCAAAACAAAATCCTTAGGAATAAGCTTGATTGTTCCACCCCTTTACAGTAATTCATTAACAAACTAAGCAAAAATAGATGCCAAGTCTGTCCACTTTATCCTTTTCACTGTCTTTATCACTAATGCACTCCATGAAGCCACAAGCTTGTTTTCCCAGGAGAATTCCCTGCTGTGCTCCTAAATAGTCTTCCCGACCACTCGTGAACCCCAACAATCCAATCCCCACAGAGTAGGTAGAATTAATTTTAATAATTGAATATAGGCAGGGCGCAGTGGCTCACGCCTGTAATTCCAGGACTTTGGAAGGCTGAGGTCGGTGGATCATCTGAGGTCAGGAGATAGAGACCATCCTGGCTAACACAGTGAAATCCAATCCCTACTAAAAATACAAAAAATTAGCCATGTGTGGTGGCATGCGCCTGTGGTCCCAGCTACTCGGGAGGCTGAGGCAGGAGAATCACATGAACCCAAGAGGTGGAGGTTGCAGTGAGCCGAGATTGTGCCACTGCAATCTAGCCTGGGCAACAGAGTGAGACTCCATCACAAAAAAAAAAAAAAAAGGTTGAATATAAATTGACTCTCCTTGTAACCATACAGTAACTTATCATATCTATTTAAATAAAATTCAGTCCGGGCATGGTGGCTCACGCCTGTAATCCCAGCACTTTGGGAGGCCAAGGCAGACAGATTTATCTGAGGTTAGGAGTTCAAGACCAACCTGGTCAACATGGTGATACCCCATCTCTACTAAAAATACAAAAAAAATAGCCAGTATGGTGGTGGGTGCCTGTAATCCCAGCTACTTGGGAAGCTGAGGCAGGAAAATCACTTGAACCCGGGAAGCAGAGGTTACAGTGAACCGAGATTGCACCATTGCACTCCAGCCTGGGCAACAAGAATGAAACTCCGTCGCAAAAAAATACAATAAATTAAATTTAAAAATAAATAAAAATAAAATAAAATTCAAGTTTTTTACCATGGACATCAGAGCCTATAATGATGAAGCTCCTGACTTCCTCTTTGTGTCCTACCTCATCTTCTGTCTCTCCATTTCCTTGCTTTCTATACGTCAGCCTCTCTAACCTTCTTTCTCTCCCTCCACATAATTTCCCACACCAGGGCTTTCCCCTGATTTGGTCTCCCTGGAACTTTCGTCCCTTAGATCTTCACGACTGTCTGCTTATTTCGTTGTCTCAGTTGAATGTCACTTTCTCAGGTAGAGCTCCCTAAACATATGAACTAAAGTAGGTGAATCCATTTCTCTCTTTCCACAAACCTGATGTCTTTTCTTCAGTGCCCTATGACTCTCTAACATTTTCTTCCTTGTGAAATGCTTATTGGGTTAATGTCTGTCTCCTCTATGCTGGTGTAACTTCCGTGAGAGTCAGGACTCTCTCTATCTTAATCAAATAGAATGATTTGAACCTAGAATGGAGCCCAGGCCACAGTAGCTGCTGAGAAAAAGAAGTGTGGTTTCCATGAATAAACCAGGGTATGGGAACTGATCACTGTGCGGATCCTGGAAAGCAAGAAGGGGCTCAAGCTCCAACACTCTTTCATTTTGATGTCACACTAGACCACTTCTTCTCCTGGTGAGAAATATAGGCAAACTTCTTCTTTCTCCTTCTTCTAGTTAGAAGATGAATTCACAGATAAAGAAACAGTGATTTAAGAAAAGGGAAATCTTTTTATTAAGAGTCATCTCTTTTTGCCTGGACACAGTGGCTCACATCTATAATCCTAACA